GCACAGATCAACCGATTTGAATGATCCTAAAAACATTCAATTCGTAATTACGGGGAGAAGGGGTGATTAGTTTTTGGCAAAGGCAGGTCCAGCGGTTTCGGAGATACAGTGTTAAATGTGCAAAAAATGGCAGTTTTTGAGAGAACTAAGCGTCCGATTTGAATAATTCCAAAAACTTTCTGCTTGTTTTAACAAAATAATTGACTTTGAAAAAAAAAAAAATTCCAAAAAATTTTTTTTTGTATATCAAAAATAATTCAGATTTTTATTTTAATTCTGTTCTAATATACTTTAAACAAATAATTTCAACTTTCCAATTTAGTTTATATAATTCTTATAAATATTCGACAATGTTACAATATTTATCATAATCTATTTTAAAACATTTAATATTTCTCGATCGTTTCGTTACGGTACGGAAAGTTCTAGCAATTTGCCTTAAGGCACGATGCCATACACCTGACTAGTTTAATTGTTAAATTTGCAAGTGATATTCTATACGCATAAAAATGATTTTATACAATTCACTATGGAGAAAACATATCGATTCATTTTTGCTTTTATTCTAGCAAGTGGTATTTATACATTTTTTAAATTAATATAATACAATAGTTTTTACTTCTCATATACATTGATTGACATTAATTTATCTTCATTATACTTGCATAAATAATAAATTGAAAGGAAATGTTTCTTTGAGTTTTTCTTGTAAAAGTAACGTGACTTGATTTCGTATCATTTATTTGTTGAGCCACTTTTCGAGTGCTGAGATATATTGTTGTTAATTTGCTACTCTAATGACAACTCTATCTTCAACGAATGTTTTGTCTGAATATCATTCGTGTATGGGATATACAGAAGGGGCCCTGGCATCCCTCCTTGTACAATTCCTAAATTAATGGTATTTCAGGTAGAACTCTAGTTGTGAAGAATCTGTCTATCAGATAACATTTCAACAACAAATATATTTCACATGGCAAAGATTTTTATTATTCTATAAAGGTAAAGCTATTTACCTTTAAATTTACAAAAAAAAAAATATTTTACAAGGCTTTGTGGATATTGTTTGTTATTCTGTGGTAAGGAATTTTAGAATTACATTTCTAGTACCAAGAATCATGCGTTTTCTCTGTAGTGATATTGACTGCATGTTCATTCTTATTAATGACAACACGATTGATGGCTTTGATCAAAATATTTAAGACTCAATTATGACTATCCTAATAGTTATTGATTAAATGCAACTTTTAAAGACTTTCATTGTAATTTTGTTTCAAATTTATTTAATTATATTGCTACTTTGCTAAATATAGATTTTTATTCTTTTATTTCTAAAGTCAATTTTGATCAAGACATGCAATCGATGATGGTTCGATTAATTCATATGTTGAGAATTGAATTAAGAATTGCTCAACATGATTATTTGTCTCGCCATATATAATTAGACTTTACTCAATACTGCATTAACTCAATAGATTTTTATATAAGTACAATTTATTCTATAATTGCTTTGGCTACTTTTTTAAAATATATTTTTTTGATATTTATAATTTTGTTCTGTCAAAGAGATTTTATATTTGAGTTGATGTGGCTTGATTAAAGTTTTAAAGAGTTGATTTGAATAAAACAAAATTTAATTTTAATCACAAGTACATTATTTCATTCATTATTTAAAGTCTTTGTTTTTATTTGAATTCTAAAAAAAATTAAAATAAATAAATATGTATATAAATAATTTTTAAAGTTTTCAGTCTATAATTCTTTAGCTTTTATTTTTAAAGTTTTGTTGAATTCAAATCAACTAAAATTGTTTTTGTCTTGAATAATTGTAAAGGTTTCACATGTTCAACAGTTTTGATTCGATTAAGATAATTTCTTGGATTTGATTAACATCATTCTGTTAATTAAATAATTCTTTCGAATAATTATTTTAAAGTCAAAATTTTCTGAAACTTCTTCGATTTTATTAACATCAATCCAACTTTTAATTAAATAATCCTTTCGATTAATTTTATCAATGCAATATTTACTGAAACCTTTTCGATTATGAAAGACGAGTTATGTATGCATGCTGTATTATCCCAAAGCCAACATTCGAATGAATGAGGCTCACATTGAATATTTCACAACGAGAAAATTTTGTTGGGGCAAAGTTAAAAATTTTAACTAAGTCCCAGTAATTTTTTCTCGTTGTGAAAATTTCAAAGTGGACTTCATTTCATTCGAGTGTTGGCTTTGGGAATTGGTGAGAGGGAACTCTAAAAAACATAAAAAAGTTTCAACGCTGAACAGAAAAGAGAAAAATTGATCTGGGACTTAGGGGGGTTTTTTTAAGGTCCTCCACCTCCCCTTCTCCCTCCTCCTCCTCCTTTTTCCCTTTTTTTTCCTTTTTTTTCGCTTTTTTTTTCATTTTTTGGTGTTGTTTTTTTTGCATGTTGTCGTTTTTGGGTAGATCTTCGGGTTTGGCATGGATCTTCCGCAATGTGTCCCTCTGCGTGTGACCTGTCGCATCATGAACCTCAGGTTGACCATCACTTTGTGTGTTCGTTTCAGGACCCACCGCACCTGCCAACAGCCAGTCACCAGCACTGCTCCATTTTTTCTGCTTCAGAGTTGGTCGTCGTTGCCTGCAGTTGGACTCGATCCGTCTCACCTTGTGCCTCCAGAGCGACTTCACCGAGTGTGCGGTCACTTAAACCACTCGGCTATTTGAGTTATTGATGATAATAGTTATTTTTATTCTCATATTGTATTAATATTGAATTTAAATAAAGAATATGTATCATACACATCTCTCTTATTCATCATCTGCCCCTACCCCTCTCTTTCCCCAGTTATTTCCACTACCTTCGTCATCTCTCTCTCTTTATATATATCTATCTCTCTTACAGTCAAGTGCGAAGCTTGAGTTTTTCAGAAATATTCTAAGTGTCAAGGTCGAAATGCGACACCTGAATTTAATATTTTGAACTAATACACTCTCTCTTACAGTCAAGTGTGGAACTTGAGTTTTTTGTTTTTCAGAAATATACTAAGTGTCAAGGTCGAAATGCGACACCTGAATTTAATATTTTGAACTAATATTTGATATTTATGAAAAACTATACATTTGATTTTTCAAGGCCTTTCGGGAATCGAACCAAGACACGCTGAGCAACCACAGTGGCAACTTAACGATCTCGGCCAATTAGTTATACAGAAATCTCTGCTATTTGTAAAAATATAAAGTCTTATTTTGATAATGAAAGATATAAGTTTCCTGAAAACATGTAATTTCTTGTGAGCATATGGCCGAGGTCGTAAAGATACGGTCTGGGCCAGAATAGCGATTCGAGGTTCGTTAGATCGAATCCTTGATTTATCTGAAAAAAATATGAAATCAATAATTTTTCTTACTGTGTAAATGAATAAGATATATAGATAAATAATTAAATTTATTGAGTGTCAGTATTACAAAAATCGACATAATATATATATATATATAATATAATATGATATATTTAAATATAAATGTATGTGTATGTGTATGTGTATGTATATATATATATATATATATATATATATTATATATATATAAATATACAAAAGATAAGAAATAGTAGGAGAATAATTTTTAATAAATTCATATTTACGCCTGGTTAGCAGTAAACCAAACCTACTTTGGTGTAATTTAGAAATTTAAAACTTTTACTAATTTTCCCATACAAAACCGGTTTTTCAGGGGCAGCCAAAATTGGCCAAAATCGTGACTTTCAAATGCAATTTTAAGGCCCTTAATGAATGAAATTAATAATTTTAATGAATGCATTATGTAGACTAAAGTACAATCTTTATACCAAAGCAAAAAAATTATAAATTTATCATCGTCTTCATAGTTAAAATCATCTTCAAAGTTGGCAATTTTTCAAACTTCAAATTGGTAACAGGGGCAGAATTTTTTTTCTTCCAAAAACTGATTTCATATTCGGAATCAGCGCCTCGAAAACTATCAGAATCGGCCAAAACATTTTAAAATCGCGAAAAAATGTTTATTTCATTAGTAAAATTTTGATTTGCAACCAAAGATTTCCATTTTTTTCTTAGGTATGCAGATTTATCTAAAAACGGATAACATTTTTAAATTCATCGATTCCAAATCTATCAAAACCAATCAAAACATTTTGAAAATCGCGAAAAAACACTCGATTTTTGAAAAAAAAAAGACTTTGCAACCAAAGACTTCGATTTTTCGCGGGGTGTACGTGAATTTATCCAAAAAGGGATAGCATTTTTGAAATCAGCGTTTTAAAATCTTTGGAATCAGTCCAAACATTTTGAAAAGCGTGAAAAAACATCAATTTTTATGATAAAATTACGATATTGCAAACAAAGATTTCGTTGTTTTGCGGTGGTACACCTTCTGAAATCATGATAATTTCGTCCTTTTCTTCAAAAAGACTTTCTCCAATTCGTTGTCTATCAAATTTCCTCTCCTATATGAAAGACCCAGGATTTAAGGCATTTTTCTAAAATATAAGCACATAAGAATAAAAATTTATCCTAAATAATTATCATGAATTATTTACATTTAAAATAAGAGTGTAAGTTTAAATGTATTTAAAAAAAATCCGTCGTTTTAATTTGATATCATTTTCAAATTGAGTAAAATGAATTTAAAGAAACCATGAATAGTTTTAACTTGATATTTTCAATTTGAGTAAATTGTGTCTTAAAAAAGCGGCTCATGATTTTAACTTGAGAAAAATGATTGTCCATGGCTTTAGCTTGGTATTTTATAACATATATTCTAATTGAAAATAAGCCCATCTCGGGAACTGCGGTGTAAAATGGAAATAGGAAAAACGCTCACACTACTTCTTCCCTAATCTAGTTTGAGTTTAACTACCAATTATTTTATTATAAAGTTTAAAATACAACATTTAAAAAATAACAATTTTTTTACACCGTTTAATGGCGTTATAATTCCACATATAAAAATCACAATATCACGTAGTTATAAATTATAATACATTACATTTTAATTTTCGTGCGGCATTTTCCTTTTGCAACACAGCTCGAACTGCCTTTATGAAAACAATATCCACATTTGTATATTCAAGTGCTGAACATTCTACAAAATCACTTGATCGGATCTTTTTGTGCATTGCTTGACCTTCTTCAAATGTCACCAAACCATGGGAGTTAGAATTTCTCAAATCGATTTTAGTTGCTGCAAGAAATAAAAGCGTTAATTTAACTGGTGGGAGTTTACATAAAACTGTTTCACCTACCGATTAAGATTATTGGTGCTTTTGGTGAATAATGCCGAATTTCTGGATACCATTTTGAATGCACATGGTCGAAACTATCGCGACTACTAATTGAGTAGCACAGCAGGAAACAATCAGTCTGTAATTTTGTAATACTGATTGTCATATCAATAATGTTTATGTATACATATACATATTATATATATATATATATATATATATATATATATGAATATGCAATTTTTCTTCTAGCGCCACCATCCCCTCATTATTTTATCTGTTTTAACAGTTTATCGTTAAAATTATAAGAATATTTACGTTTTTTTTTAAATACTTTTTAATAACTGTGGATTTAGTACACAAAAAATTAGATATATAATATAAAAGCCCTTTGATTTTAAATTTATTTAGAATATCGTGGCGATACGCGAATTCTTCATAATCACTACTACCAAACTACTTCTAAATTCTTATTTTTAATCTAAACTTTTTAGGACATCCAAACATTTCAGAATGTTTATTATTGCTTGAAATAATATTTTTTAAAAATTTATTTATTTAGGATTTTATGCGATTTATTCTATTAAACAAATCATGGTGCTTTATGTTGGATTATTTTATTTTGATTTTTCCTTATTTAAAATATCCAAATTGAATCTTAAATATTGCTCAAATATTAGTGAAAAATACAAAGAAATTATATGTTTCTTGAATTATATTGAAAAAAAAAACTATATTAAAAATTTCATTTCCAATCTCGTTTTGGCGCCCCCTAAGGCGTGCGCCCGCATTTTTGCTTGCAGCATCGCATTCAAGGTAGGACCGGTCCTGTATATATATATATATATATATATATAATATATATATATATATGTATACATATAAGAAAAATGTAAGTAATATCGATAGATATGAATTTAACTATCTTTATCATTTATCATTTGCCATAATCTAGGAAAATTTTAATAGATTATGCTAATATTAAGAAAAAATAAAACATTGTATATTCTTACATTTGGATAAGAAAGTGGCCGCAACCTATCATAATCCTCCTGACCTGATGTATCCCAAACGTTCAAAATGTGTGTGCATCCATCTACTAA